GACAGTCGTTCACAACAGAACCTTTGTCACCTGTTGTAGTTTCTACACGGACACGGAAAGAAGGGACGTTATGATCGATGTCACCAAAACATAACACCACGGATGATATTGCATAAAGTAGAGACGGAATTAATTCAGCTACTTTCTGATATCAACGGGGGCCGAGTGAAGAGTACACACTCGGCAGAAACTGGAGTAAAACTTTACTAAATGAAGAATAAGTTCACAGCAAGTATGAACTTGTGAACGCAAATTGAACTTGTCAATAAAAAAAACAGCCGTAGCTTAAGAGCATTTGAAACAACTGCCAAAGGTCAGACGTATTTCACTTTAACCAGACACAGACAAAATAAAATAGATTTTTGTTACGCTGTAAAAAATTAGTGTATTAGGTGGAGTTATTTTAGATAATTGCACTATTCATGCTTGTTTCTGTGCGGTTTGAAGACGATTTTAAAATATAGTCGAAATACGGATGTCCTTAGTCGCGTTTAAGATCGTTTTTTGCAGCCTACATGTGTTTTAAAATATGTTTTTGTACTGTTTTTACAGGAAATTATGTTTAGTTTCTTGGGTCTCCGTAAGGACTCGAAGAAATCCACATCCGACAAGGAAGTCGACGGTGGCTTTGTCGTGATTGGTAAGAACATGTCTGCTATCACATGAGCATTTTTATTTGTGTAATTGTTAATGATGACATTTAACTGATCTTATAGTCTTTTTTTAATCTACATTAAAGGTATTTATATGTAGTTATGGCTCACCAGCACAAGCATACATAAGACTGCTGCTTTGAATTCTTATGATAAGTCAGTATATGATTATAATTTGATATGGAGTAACTATAAACCCTTGCTTATTATGAATCATGATGTTGGTCTGTCTCCAGTGGAAAAAGGAGCTGATTAGCCTAAACAGAACTAGATGAAAAACTTGTGAGAACATATTCATGAAAGTTGTCAGGTATCCTCACATGGTATCATCGTTTTGATGATGTAAAGACTCAGATATGCATTCATTGCCACACGGCAGGATTTAGTAAAGGGGATTTTGTGGGTGAATTAGAATTTTGCTCTTCAGAAGATCTTTTTGTTTACTCTGAAACATCTTTAGGTCATTATAACAATATAAGCACAAATGAGCCAACTGTCTACAGTCAGGGGTGGAAATTAGCATTTTTTTAAATCCATTTTTTTCAGGATATGTTTAGTCTTAAGCTGTTGCTCACATCTTTTATCTGAACCGCAGGAGAGACAGCTGAGGAGCGGAGATGGAGGCCGACCACCAACAGCCTGCAGCCCACTACTAACGTCATAGTGCAGCCGTCAAAGGTGAACTAGACGAGGTTTCAGGTCTTCGGGAACCTTAAATCTGCATGTGCGGGTTTTACAAAGCGAGTCCTCATCACCGTCCACAACTTACAGTCCACCAGAACAAACCTTTTGTTAAGTTTTAACAGGATTCAGGGATCACCCATCTCAATTAAGATGGTCAATGTTGTAAATTGATGTTGAGTTAAACAGGATTCTCTTTACATCTGCTTGGTGCGCTGAATTAAGTTTAAATTAAATTAAATTAAATTGTATTTCTATAGCGCCAAATCCCAACAACAGTTACAGTATCTCCCAGCTTTCCAAACAGAACAGGTCAGACTGACTGAGTTATTTACAGAAGAACAAAAATTCCCTCCAGGAGCAGCACTAGGAGACAAAGGGAGGGAAAAACTTCCTTTAGGAGGCAGAAACCTGGAGCAGAACCATGGTTCAGGGTGAATTAATTTAACTACTACTACAACTAATTCACATAAAACACCTCCTTTTCCATATCTAAAATGAAATGTGAGAATATATTTGAATTATAAACACAAAAACATGATTAAATCGTGTAGGATGAAGAGGCTGTCATCGAATACTAAATTAACCTCAGAACTTGTAATGAATTTTTAAAAAGTCTGTTAAATTAAGATGAGAACTGGGGACATATAATATGTGTGCTCGTGGTGGAATGTCCCTTATTTGCCTTGATCATGTGACCAGAATCATGAGATTTAAGTTTTATCTGAGTATTGAACCTTTGAATGCCTCGTCCACAGTCGTCCTGCCCGGCTCCTCCCGGTGAGCTGCCCCCCCCCCCGGCTCCGGCCGAGGCCTCCCCGGTGATGGAGGCTGTCTCCACCCTTCCAGACCTCCTGGGGGACGTTCCCTTTACTTTAGCCCCTCACGTCTTGGCCATGCAGGCGGGATTCTCCATGGTCCCCGACGTGCTTCTGTCCCGGGACATCAACTACAACCTGTCCAGTTTCCAGTATGACTTCACTTTAGAAAACTCTGTGCTTCACAACGGCTAGTTCGTTTAGATCTCATTGTCATTTATAGCGAGCTGGCTGGTTCACGGTTCAGGATTACGTAACGGTCACAACACGATCAGAACCAGGACGCTGTTTGAGCCATTTTTATTAAACAAATGTAACCACAAACAAGAGCAATTTTACCTTGTTCAATTGTTCCATTTTTAACCTCCTGAGACCCCAAACTTTAATTTAGTTTGCATTTCTCCATGAAACATGCAATGAATAGGGCCTGAAAAGTTCACTAACTAAACTCTGTCACTATACAGCAAATAGTTTTTGCTCATATAGGGACAGTGGCTTTTTTTGGCAATTAAACGCGTATTTATGTATTTAAAGGATTTCTTTGCAATTAGGTTCAAATGACTTATTTATGCAATTTTAATTACACAATAGACACGACTGATTGAAACCTTATTAAAACCACAGGACATTTAACGCGGCCACTGTTGCCTTTAGGAGTGCAGTTATTTGAACCATTTTGTCCATATTTCTACCAATGTTTCCCACAATTTAATCATGAAAAGCAGCTTTTTGCCAAAAATTGAAGAGTCGCTCTTCCAAACAAAAGCTTTTTATTTTTGTTTTCTGCAGTTTGATGTAGCTTGAACCCATTTTGAGGTGTGCGTTTGCTTATCGAGACTATTTTAGTAGTTTATTAGGGGAATTTGTGGCGGAAACATTTAAACAAGACTAATGATAAGTAGTGGTCCCTCATGTGATCCAGCATCTTTTTTCTGTTCCTCTGTTTATTGTTTACTCATAACCTCGTCTATTACAAACGTTTTTTTGTATTTAAATGCAGAAAATGGATGTTTGAGTGAACATAATACAGACTTTTATCTAAATTATAGATAAACTGACGTCATTGGGAGGAGATAAGTTTTAGAAATTGTGTAGAATTTACCATTTTTTTCACTTTATGGAAGTCAGCAGGCGGCTTGATGTGGATTTACTGTAAAATACCAAATGCTGCCTGAGGGTTTTAGTTGGTCCTCCATAAGTATCTAAAGATGGATTTATGTGGGTGAATTAAGTTTTAAGGTTTCTAAAGCTTCCATCGTACTTATTCAACCATCTATGCTTTAATATTTTACCTCCCTATGATCCACCTGTTTCCTGACTTTTACTTTATAAATCTGTTTTATTCCGTGTGTTTTCCTGCTTTAAACTGTTTAACATTCACAATCTGTGAGACACATGAAAACCACTGGTGAATTGAACCAGTTATTCTGTTTCTGTACTGTTTTGGGAAGCAGAGGAATGTTTATGGGCTGCAAATGTCGAGTTACTGTTATTTAAATCCAGCTTACATCAGTTTTATGCAGACGAGCTGCTGCTTTGGACTCCTCAAGGTCTTTTTGCCAATGTGTTGGTCACACCTTTTTCATTTGTTATCATTGGAGCCTTTCTATTATTTGAATGTTTTTTATTTCTAAATTTAAAGATTAAACAAGGCAAATAGTTTTATTTCTTAACGGTACTATGAATGATGCGGTGCTTTTAATCTTTTGCTCTTGATTTCTGTTTTTTTGCACTTAGTTTTGCAGGACGAACCGTTATTTTAGCTGGATATACCTTTTTTTTTGTTTCTTTTTGCTTACCAAACCGATGCCCCGTTTACTTCTATTGTAAATATAAACTTTCATAATGGGAGAAAACAATTCTGGCTTTGTTCAGGAAGAGAAAAT